TTTTCCTTTTGTTCCCCAGCTGTAAACATTATGGAAGGTTCTGGCAGGTCGTCCACTTCTGGACCTTAGTCTCTTTTCTAGATCTTGGGTTTTGCATGCACATCCGTTTTACAGATCTGGCTTATTTTGTAAGCACACTGTTGGTTCCTCCAAGCAACGCAGACTTCTAAGAAAACAACCCCTAATTAGTCGACTTTCATAACATGCTTGTTAGGTGGGGGGCGGGTCACCACCACCAAAGGGGCCACAGAACCCATGCGGGGGGAGGGGGGCATTACCACCAAAGGGGCCACAGAACCCATGCGGGGGGAGGGAGGGGCACTACCACCAAAGGGGAAAAAGAACCCATGCTGGGAGTAAAAGATTAATTTTGTGCATCATTATATACTGACTACGTAGATATAGTGAAATATGTCAGGCAATAATATGTACAATGTATTATGTGTTTCTGCATAATTTGAATTTACTGTGGAAAAACACTGTTTTGAATAAAGTTAAAAGCATTAAATTTATCTACTGTGCACAAGAAAGAAGGACACAATAACAGGAACAAAGGAACATCTGACCAGATAAAGTCTGATAAATGTGATAGTCTATGCAAATCAGTTCTGTGAGAGAGGTGACTTCTTTGCTGTTCTCGTTTTTGCCAACTTGCTTCTTTCATATCTTTGACAGTTTACTTATTTATTTTGCTGTTTTCTTCCTTGTCAACTTGTGTTAACTACTTTATGTGTTAAATATTTACTACTTTGAATGTTTACTACTTTACTGTTCTGTTCTTTGTCAACTTGTAGCTGTTAACATCTTTGTTGTTTTGTTTTACTCTGCCAACCTGTTACTACTTATTTGCTGTTATTTTCATTGTGAACCTGTAACTGCTGTTTATATCTTTGCTGTAGTTTTATGTTATCAAGCACACAACATAACATAAACTGGTGCCATCGGAACAGGAACTCTTTGCTTGCTGAACACTTATGGGAGTGTCCTGAATGCTTTGATGTAGATTCTTAACCCTCTGGAGACAATGTGGCCAAAATATCGGCCCAACACAAAGTAGCCAAAAGGACGACTGGGCTGATCAGTCAGCCCTATGTAATTCAAGCCTTGAGATTGGCTGGCAGGTTTCTGTACTAGACAACCAGATTGCTTCTCGCATTTTTTGCACATGTGGGCTGTTTACTTTGAGAAAGTTTGATGAGTTCGGTAATTTTACATCATTTTTTGTGTCTGTGTTACCTTGCCCAACAATGGCGAAAAGGACTGCTGTGTCATAGTTACCGAAACATAGCTGAAGGCAGAAAAATGAGTAGAGCCAGGTGCCAAAAGTGTCTGAAGGGCCTCCAAGGGCCTTACTTCCCAAAACAAATTTTTTTTTAGGTTAGTCATGTTTGTTCCCAGGTTTAAAAATGCTTGTATAAATTATGTTAATCAGTATAGTTAATCTGAATAAATGTTGAGATTTCAGTTTGATTCACAAGTATTTTGTTAGCTCATTCAATTTCTGACAAAAATATATATAGTTTTCTATGTGTTAATTAAACGCTTTATTTTGTATAATTTTTATGCGTATAAACTGTGAGAATTCCCTCAAGGCTTCGTCTTTTTGGCACTGAAACTCCAAAAAGGCTCCGTCTCCAGAGGGTTAACTCAACATTTGTACTTTTATATGTATGCCAAGTTGTAGCCACTCCAAGTATCCACTTTTAGCATTCTTCTAACAGTTTATAATCCAAAATCTAAACTTATACATTCAAGACAAGAGAGCTCATTAACAAAAAGGGCCAAAGTGAGAGCTAAAAGAAATATGGGACATGACCCTGTTGGAATTCCAGAAACAAAAATCCTCAATCAATTTTACATAGACCATGAAGAAATTCATTAAATTTATTTATCTACCTATTAAAATATTTTTTCTCCAAAATACACAAGGAAAAAAATTACGTCAACATAAACAGAGTAAGCAGGGCTGCCAATGGGACTTTTTTGAAAAACCCAGTTAAACTAAACAAAAACCCAAGCAATACATAAGCGAAAGAGAAAAAAAAAAAAAAAAAAAAAAAACAGATTGATAAAAAGTACCAATTTTATAGTTACAAAATGAAACATTTACCTACTTAAATATAAGGATTAATTTTAAAAAAAAAAAAACATCCAGATTTTAAAATTTAAACATGTCATCAAATAAAAACCCAGATCTGGGGGTAAAAACACAGCATTGGCAGCCCTGGAGTAAAGCATTAAATAGAATACATTCCAAGGAGGCCTAAAACATATATGCATTGGGTATCTCATGCTGTGACCCTATGACCTTTATCACTGAGGCTTACAGGCAAATTTGACATCAACTTGTTATTTTGCCTAAAGGCCCCCCCCCCCCCCCCCCCCCCATATGCAAAAACATCCAATAGAGTTAACTCTTTGAGTCCCAAGGAACGCATCATACGTTACTGCCTAGAAGCCCAATGAACGCATAATGCGCCGATTTTACGTCTCTCTTGACAACCCCTTGGGCCTGTGATGCAAAACCCACAGGTAACTGTGTAGGCAAGTCAGAAAATGTGAAATTTACAGGGAAAAGGACCCGACAGGAAATGTCAGTTTTGCGGTCCCTTTAAGTGAAAGGGTTAAACTAACCTACACTGTGCATTCACAGTCTGCTGTGAAACTTGAAAAAAGAAACACTTGGACTGAGAAATGCTCTTCTTCTTCATCATCTTTTACCATGTTCCATGGCATTGATATTCATGTATGCTTACAAGGTTCTGCCTATACACTGTCAACAGTCCTTCTTTTCTCCTCTTACACACCATGCTCTTTGTCACCTTCGGCCTATACACTGTCAACAGTCCTTCTTCTTTCTCCTCTTACACACCATGCTCTTTGTCACCTTCAGCCTATACACCGTCAACAGTCCTTCTTCTTTCTCCTCTTACACACCATGCTCTTTGTCACCTTCAGCCTATACACTGTCAACAGTCCTTCTTCTTTCTCCTCTTACACACCATGCTCTTTGTCACCTTCGACCTATACACTGTCAACAGTCCTTCTTTCTCCTCTTACACACCATGCTCTTTGTCACCTTCGGCCTATACACTGTCAACAGTCCTTCTTCTTTCTCCTCTTACACACCAAGCTCTTTGTCACCTTCGGCCTATACACTGTCAACAGTCCTTCTTCTTTCTCCTCTTACACACCAAGCTCTTTGTCACCTTCGGCCTATACACTGCTAAAAATGTCTTTCTGACAAATTTCTTTCATGTCAGAATATGCAGTTGTCTTGTGCTTTCTGCGTCTAGGCTTTCTACTTGACATTTTCTGTTTTATGATATATCTGAAGAATCCATATCTCATTAGGAATTAGAAATCACTGTACTGACTAGGTAAAGAAAAAAATGCTCGCAAGTAAAGCAACAGCTTACATCATTCTGAGACAGTTCAGCAACATCTGCTAAAGAAAATGAAAGTATTGTTTTGTTTTGTATTGTTTTGTGTGTGTGTGCGTACGCGCGCGTGTGTGTGTGCGTACGCGCGTGTGTGTGTGTGTGCGTGTGTGTGTGTGCGTGTGTGTGTTCAGAAAAAAATTAATTAAACAAGTCTCTGTTTCCCAGAAAAATTAAATATCTTACACACACAAAAAAGCTAAATAAAGTGCCATAATGTGGTATCCAAACAATCACGAGTTGGTGTTCTTTCATAAAAGTTCTTAAAAATGTACTTGATGTGTATAAACTATCACTCTTGCTGTACAGAACAAAAGGTCTTAAACAAAAAGGGGAAAGTAGCATAAAGTGGTATCAATTTAACTACTAGATGATCTTAAAGAAAAGAAATAGTCAGTCTTGGTTACAAGAAACAAAAGATCTAAAAAGAAAAGGTGGGGGAAATACCATAACATTATATGAGGTCAACCAAGGTAAGTTCAATAAGAAGATGCACTTGATGTATTCAAACAACAACACAAACAGTCACTCTTATCTGCACAGAAAACAGATATAAAAACAAAGCACATTAGCATATACTATATCAAAGACAACTGAGCTAATGTTCGTTTCAGGTAGTTCAAGAAGAAAATATTCTCGATGTGATCAAACTCAAACAACAGCAGAATTAGTTATCATTTCTTTTTCTTTCGTCTCATAACTACACTGTGCAAATTTACAGCATGGCTGTTATATTTGTACCTTTTAGTCGACACATGCATCCTCATGAATTTGTTGCCCGTGTTAGATTTCCCAGAGTAGTCGTTTGCGGTATTTAAACATTAGGTGGCAATCATTTTCTCACTCTATTTTACTGTCTGTGTTAGCCTTACCAGTTTAGTCGTTCGCTGTATTTAAACATTAGGTTGCAATCATTTTCTCACTCTATTTAACTGTCTGTGTTAGCCTTACCAGTTTAGTCGTTCGCTGTATTTAAACATTAGGTTGCAATAATTGTCTCACTCTATTTAACTGTCTGTGTTAGCCTTACCAGTGTAGTCGTTTGCGGTAGTTAAACATTAGGTTGCAATAATTTTCTCACTCTATTTAACTGTCTGTGTTAGCCTTACCAGTTTAGTCGTTCGCTGTATTTAAACATTAGGTCGCAATCATTATCTCACTCTATTTAACTGTCTGTGTTAGCCTTACCAGTTTAGTCGTTCGCTGTATTGAAACATTAGGTTGCAATCATTTTCTCACTCTATTTAACTGCCAGTGTAAGGCTTCCAGAAACTCAAGTGCATAATAAAATATTTGAAACAAGTCAGCTCAATGCATTTCATAAACCCAGAAGTTATACCATGATACTGTTATTAACAAATATTTAGTACCCAAAAAAAAAAACATTCTTCAATACTGTAAATCAAAATCCAGCATGATTCAAAGTTTGCTTCCTTTCATTCCTAACAGTTCAGTCTACAGATGGCAAGATCATCATGACACACAGCCAGCAAAGTTTCTTTGAATTCCGGTGCTTTTCTTTTTTTTTTGTTTCTGTAATTTCTTAAATGTTTCCGTTATTCACTAGAGACAAAAGACATCAAGATATTAGTAGCCACACTGAGTTACAAAAGTAATCATCATAAAGTGCTGTGCCGAATGGCGTTGGCAATCATGCCTCTCCACAATCTGCAGTCTTCAACAGCTTGCATCAGACTGTGTGCTCACACCCCTCTGTGGCAGGACAAAAGGATGTCACGGATCTTTTTATGTTGTCTCTGTTTTATTCAAAGGTTTTTCCAGTGGTCACATGTTCCAGTTTCCTTCTTATATGGCTTAAAAATGATGACTGTCTCTTTCTAATGGTTGTGATAAGTTGTCTTCAAGGCCTCACCTCTTTCAAAACACCTGGGTTGATCTTTTTTGGCTGCCCAAGGAATACTAAGATTTCTTCTGCAAAACCAGGCAAGAAATTTTTGGTTTTAAACATAGGCTCACCAAATATGATTGCTGTTTTTCACTATTAATATTACTTATGTACTGTTTCTTGTCTTCGTTTACCACTTAGACATAAATAGGACGAGCAAGCATGACAATAATCAATAGTCACTACGATTTATTTGTAGCCAAGTGGTGTAGCAGATAGATACTAGCCTTCTGGCCATGGTCAAGGGCTCAAATCTGCACTGTGGCAGATTTATGTTCAAAATGTGTTTTCCCTCAAAGTAGGAATGCATCTGCCTGAGAGGCGGGGAACCAACAGCAATGATATAACAATATTAAACAATCCCAATGTAAACTGTGGCACACAAGCCAACTTGGTGTATATTTCAAGGATTTTTTACTCAGAATTTTGAGTTAGGCATATGCCTACCATACTGGTCTACCAGAAAAATTGTAATGTTAATATGCCAAATATGTTGACCTGTTTTAGTTGAATATATTTCCAGCAGCCTGATGGAAGCACAAGTGGCATCCATGGCTTAGGCAATGCGAGTCCGACTCATAATTCCAACATACTGCGATCGAAACCCACTGCTGGCTGCGTGGATTTTTATCATGGTATGGGGCGTCGCAGATGGACCCAGCCTAAAAGGGTTACCAGGATGGCTGTCCTGGGGAAGTAAAGACGGCCAGCGTAATGCTGACCACATTACCCACCTAGTGCTGATGGTCTGAAAAAGTATGGGGGCTCTTTGCATATGCCCGATGCGCCTAAAGGCGTCAAAAGGGATCTTTATGTTACTTTTTTTATTACTTTACTGATGGCAGTATGGTAAGTGGTAAACAGTAACTGTTACAAGTTCTGTCCCACTTGTTTACAACTAGGTGGTCAAGGTGTCCATTTTATACCTGCCATTCAAGTCAACCTCTAGTTTTGGAAAGACGGAAAACATGAAAACATTAATGTGCCAAAATTTACAGCAGTTGTATAGATTTCTATGTCATTTCATGTCTAGTAATTTTACATATTAATTTTTCTTCTTCTTTTTTTGAGTCACAACCATTTCTGGTGTATTCCATGAGGTCTTTTTTAAGGCTCTGAAATAAACACCTCTTGTCCTACACATAAAGCAACACATGGACATAATCATATGAATCCAGCACAACTAAAGACTCACCTGCTCCCTGGCACTATCAAACATGTTCTGTACTGCTTGACTCATAAACTGACCATTCAAACTCCCATCTCCACCACTATAACCACTGTGGAGGAATAGGAACAGATCTTGAAAAAGGTCAGCCCAAACTTGAAAAATAGTCAGCCTACCACCTCCGTGCTTTATCAACATTAATGTTATCAATTAGTGATTACTTCCTCCTGTATGGATTTCAGAACCGTGGTTGTTTTGTTGGGGTGGGGTGGAGGGAAAAACACTGTCCTCTTAACTATTATGTAGCAAAAGATTACTTTTACTGGCTGACATCAAATGTGTTGGACTAAAAGGTGCAGATGTTCTGGCCCAGCTTAAATGACAAACCAACGTGCCTACTACCCTTTTAAGAGTGAATGCAGAAGTCATCACTTCCAGACATGCGCATGTGTGCACACACACATATATGTAAAGCAAAAGATTCATTGTCACAATCACTAATTCCTAAGCTTATCAATTAAAGATGTCAACAGCTGATCATAAAATTTATAAACTTTAGATTACAGATATCAATCAATCATTAATTTCATACTTATCAATTACAGATGTCACCAATCCAACATTAACTCCTTAAACTATGAATTATAAATGTCAAAACACAATAGGTAATTTCCTAAACTAATTGATAACGTACATCACCAACCAGTCATTAGTTCTAAAAACGTATCACTTTTAAACGTCACTAACTAATCATACATTCTATAAACATATCAGTTACAGATGACACCAACTAATCATACATTCTATAAACCTTATCAATTACAGATTACATCAACTAATCATACATATTATAACCTTATGAATTACAGATGTCCCCAACTAATCATATATTCTATAAACCTATCAGTTACAGATGACACCAACTAATTATACATTCTATAACCTTATGAATTACAGATGTCACTAACTAATCATACATTCTATAAACCTATCAGTTACAGATGTCCCCAACTAATCATACATTCTATAAACCTATCAGATACAGATGTCACTAACTAATCATACATTCTATAAACCTTTCAGTTACAGATGACACAAACTAATCATACATTATATAAACCTATCAGTTACAGATGTCCCCAACTAATTATACATTCTATAACCTTATGAATTACAGATGTCCCTAACTAACCATACATTCTATAAACCTATCAGTTACAGATGTCCCCAACTAACCATACATTCTATAAACCTTTCAGTTACAGATGACACAAACTAATCATACATTATATAAACCTTTCAGTTACAGATGTCACCAACTAATCAAATATTTTAAAAACTTATCAGTTACAGATATACCCAACAATCACTAATTTAAGAAACCTATCAATAACAAATGTCAGCAACTATTTATTAAATTCAAAATCTCAATTATCAGTCACTGTCTGTATCTACCACTCTTATGGCAGTGTAGATGGAGGTGTCCGAAACTCGAGATTTAGGGGTGCATGGTTAGTGCTGTTGCCACAGACAGGTTAGGATGTTTATTTTTGTCTCTGACAGAAAAAGATTACCAGAGGTCGAACTCAGGTCACCTGCACGAGAACTCAGGCTGCCACTTGGCAAGCTGCTCCTCTTGTATCAGTCATTACTTCCATAAAATGACCAACCAGGGAGAGTGTCAACCATTACTTCAATAAACTGAGCATCTGCTGTTGGCATCAGTCATTCCAAATACTTCAACTGACCACCATGTGTTCACATACCTGTGTGGCATTCCAGCAGCAGTTTGAGGACCCTTGCTGTAAACTGCATTATGGGAGTATCCATCTCCAGGATTGTGTATAGCTTGTGTATAGTACCCATCTCCAGGACTGTGTGGAGCTTGTGTATAGTACCCATCTCCAGGATTGTATGGGGCCTGCGAAGAGTACCCATTTCCAGGATTGTATGAAGCCTGTGGAGGGTACCTATTTGCAGGAGCCTGTGTTAAGTAGCCACTTCCAGGATTGTGTGAGGTTTGTATAGGTCCTGGGTACCCTGGCTGCAACATTACATTTGGGTGGACCAGCAGCTGTCTGTTGCCAAAAACATTGAAATTGCAGCTGAGGAGTATGAATTAAAATTTTTTTTTAATAATCTATGATTGTAGGAATCTTTTAGATCATTAGGAGTCAAGATAATTACAAGAACAATATTAAATGTTTATATCTGACAGAATCTTTTAGTTCATTGAGAGTCAAGATAATTTCAAGAACAATATAATATGTTTTTACCTGACATAATCTTTTAGTTCATTCAGAGTCAAGCTAATTATAAGAACAATACAAAATATTTACATCTGACAGAATCTTTTAGTTTTTTCACAGTCAAGTTAGTTATAATATAATATACATCTGACAGAATATTTTAGTGCATTCAGAGTCAAGCTAGTTATAATATAATATATATCTGACAACGCTCGCCGCGGATCGGAAGGTCATGGGTTCGCTCCTTGGCAGAGCTGGACTTTTTTCACAAATGACCTTGGCTCCCAGGTCGACCCAACATTGAGTGGGTACCGGGCACAGTCCTGGGAAGTAGAGGTGGCCGGCGTGATGCTTACCACATCACAGATCTTGTGCTGATTGGTCTATAAAAAATATAGGTCTAGCCCTATACGCCTAAAAGCTTGGAAAAGGGACCTTTACTTTACAGATTCAAGCTAGTTATAAGAACAATATATTATATTTACATCTGACAAAATCTTTTAGTTCATTCAGAGTCAAGCTAGTTATAAGAACAATATACATTTTTTACATCTGACAGAATCTTTTAGTTCATTCAGAGTCCAGCTAGTTCACTCAGATAACTGCTTCAAGTACATTATAATTTATACCTGGCAGAATTTTACTCAATTTAGAGTCAAGTTATAAAGAAGAACACTAAAATCTAAACTTATTCAGAGTCAAGTTAAAAGTGATAAGAATAATATAATATGTTCTTGGCAGAATCATTTAGCTCATCTAGAACTGAGCTAGATACAAGGACATCATAATCTATGTTGAAAGTTTTAGTTCATTCAGAGTAAAGTTAACTACAAGAGAATTACAATCAATGCTGAAAAGAATCTGAGAGATGTTAACTGTCACAAGAAATTGTTATAATCTTTGCTTGGCAGAATCTTTTAAGCTCATTCATAATCAACTGTAACATTATAATCCATGTTTGGAAATTTGTTTTCATCTCCATAACAGCCAAGTTAATAGCAGTTCTTTTTATTTTAGTAAAATACAACTATAATATAAAAGGAATATCACTCCAGGCGATAAATCAAACAAAGAAGTGTGTGTGCATGTTTGTTAGAATGAAAACTGAACACGCAGCTGAAGAAAATCGCAAGACAACATGATCATCCATACCAGTTGGCATGCCACTCAACATTAACGAACATCACTGGATTGATTAACTTTTAGAAACATATAACTGTTGAATGTTGAATGCTGAATTAGGAATCAACATCGTCTTTCCCTTGGGTCTTCAGCGTCGGCCAGATCCCCTGGTAACTTCCCACAGCACCATTCTCCTCAGACCATAATGATCTATTTGGGCCTCCGCACTGTTCATGTGCTCCCAAAGAGCCCACACAACATCTAGCTTGTCATACATCAATTCAGCACTAAGTGGTGCAGAGCCGGCCAGTCTGACTGCCTGCTCATTTCCCAACACACCGGCATAACCTTGAAAAAATATCCAAAGGACACTAAATATATGACTGATATTATGTTATCCCAAACAACCAGACTACACACTCATGCCAGCTCAGTCCTCCGATGTAGCAGCATTGCCAGTATATCTCTAATCCCTTTTCCCATGGGAAATAAACATCCCATCCTTTCCTTGAAGATGGTACAGACACTTTTGGCTAAACTTCACTCCCAGGTTATGCAGCTGAGTTAGCATCACAGACTCACCAGTATCCGTCTGTTTAGTTTAGTCTTCAAAACTTCATGACAGCAACAAGACAGCAGCAACTAACCTGGGTGGTGGTAACATTTGTGGCTGTACTACTGCGGCTGGAGCCAGCAGTACTGGATTATTATGCGTGTAACCTCTCAACTGGTGCTGGTTCTGCTGAGGATGGTGCTGGTTCTGCTGAGGATGGTGCCGCTGCTGCATGTAGCTGCTGTTGTGATACACTTTGGAGTGCATTACTGACAGGGGCGCTTGTTGACCAGGATGGTTAGCACTCTAAGAAACACAAGAAAGCAGAGCACAAGAAATCAGGATAAAATATGTGTGTTTTGTATGAGGCATATTGTATTTTTTCTTTTTACTTCCATAATGTGAAATAGTTTGTCTTTTTCTTCTTCTGCATTCAACCGAGGGCGTAACTGCCTGTATGTGCACCCTTTGACAGGCACATTATACTTTTTAGGCATTTGTTTTCCAGGTTAGCATTCCCAGGAAAGAGGCTGTGAGCCTACTGGTTCTAACATTGCAATGTGTTATAAGCTATTTTCCAATGCAACAGAGTCTAACTTTGTCAGCTTATCTTTTTCTTCTTCTTCTTAGCATTATCAGCTGTTAACTCCCATTGAAATCAAAATGAGATATAAACGGACTGATCAAACGGTATTTGACCATGGCAATGTTAAGGGACTACGAGACAGAACAGCGAAATACAAGATTGCAACACTTAACACCGCTGGCCTGGGAAATAAAACAGAAGAGATAATTGAAATGATGGAAAAAAGGAAAATCAAGTTAATGGGGCTAGCTGACATAAGACGCAAGGGAAATATTAATAAGAAAATACACAGAGGCTACTTACTAACATATGCAGGAGGAGAAACATCGAAGAATGGAGTGGGTTTCCTGGTACATCCGGACATATCTAACTACATATTAGACATGCATTATCACTCAGATAGAATTATTACTTTGAAAATTCAAAGAGGAGAACAAGCTGAAACACATATACAGATGTATGCACCATGCAATGATAATTATACAGAAAAGCAGAAAGATGAATTCTTTGACGATCTGTCTGATGAGATAAAGAAAGTTGAGGGAAGCAGCATACTATATGTAATGGGTGACTTCAACGGGAGGGTAGGAAATAACAGAAGAGAATACGAACAGTTTTTAGGTCCATATGCAGCTAAGAACAGTGCTAGAAATGGAAATGGTCAAAGAATATTGGATCTATGCAGCCAGCACAATCTTTTTATTACGAACACATTCTTTGACCATAGAGATTCACAACTTTACACTTGGCACAAATGGAATGACGTCTCCATCAAGAGCCAGACTGACTTTATACTTACCAGAGTTCAAGGAAGAAGGAGAATTCTTGATACAAGAGCAATCCCTAATGGTCTATGTGACACTGACCATAAAATAGTTGTGTTAACAGCAAAACATTTTACATTAAAGAAACACAGAAAGAAATTAAACAAAAACAAGGATCTCATCAAGATAGCAAATCTGAAACAGGAAGGAGTAAAAGAACAGTTACAACAGAAAGTAGAGACAGCATTCAAACAACTTCCACATGTAGTTGGCAATATTGAGGAAGAATGGAGTATATATAAAAACACTATGCTTAGTAATGAAGAAGAATTATGTGGAAAACGGAAGAGTGGAAACAGACAGGGAAATAACAAATATTCACCTTGGTGGTGTGAAGAAGTAAAAGAAGCAATTAAAAAGAAAAAAGACATATAAACAGTGGACAAAATCAAAGAAAGACGAAGATTATATAAACTATAGACTGCAAAGGAGAGAAACCAACAGGAGTGTCAAGAAAGCAAAACAAGCATCCTGGGAACGTTTCGGTGAGTCACTAGCAGAAAATGAGAAAACAGCCAGCAGAAAATTTTTCAAAGTAGTTAAAAATATGCGGAAAAGAGATGAGAGCTATAACCCCACTGAAATAATTAATGATAAGACAGGAAGGCCATTGATAGATCCACCCGAGATAGCAGAAAGATGGAGGGAATACTTCAATGAGCTCTTTAATCCTCTAGGAGATCATCAGGAAAGAACAACTGAAGAGCACAGAGCAACAGTGTTAGAACCACACATACTAATGGATGAAATAGAAAAAGTCATTAAACAGTCTCCCAAATATAAAGCACCAGGAGCTGATAGATTACCAACAGAAATAATTCAAGCAGCAGGTGAAAGCAGCATCAGATGGCTTCACAGAATATTCAATGCAGCATGGGTACAACAAACGGCCCCTATTGATTGGCAACATGCAATAGTTATACCATTGTGGAAGAACAAAGGAAGCAAACGAGAATGAGGTCAATATCGAGGCATCTCTCTTTTAAGCCATGTTGGCAAAATGTATGCCAAGATAATAGAAACAAGACTGAGACCAGTGATAGAACCACAGCTGGCAGAAGAACAGATGGGATTTAGGAGAAATAGAAGCTGCACAGATGCAATCTTCACACTGAGACAGTTAATAGAAAAGAACATTGAATACAATAAGAACTTATTTGTGGCATTCGTGGACCAGGAGAAGGCATTTGACAGAGTCGACAGACAATTATTATGGAAAATAATGGCAAGATATGGAGTAAGCGAACACCTCATCGAAGTGTGCAAAAGTTTATACAGGGATTGTAGAAGTGCAGTTAGAATAAATCAGGGAACATCTCATCCTTTCACAGTGACATCTGGAGTAAGACAGGGGTGTGTCTTATCACCACTGCTGTTTATCACCTACATCGACAGTATATGCAAGAATGCCAAGCCCATGAATGAAGATCTTAGTAAGATCAACGAATTACTCTTTGCAGATGACCAGGCCTTGATAGCAGATACAGCCATGAAATTGCAACAAACATCTAACATCCATGAATGAAGAATGTAAAACAAATAATATGAGAATCAACACTGAAAAGACAGAAGTAATGTCAATAGGAAAAAAGAAGACAGATCTAAACATAGCAATAGAATACAAAGGCATTAAACAGGCATCTGAGTTTAAATATCTGGGAACTACATTTACCGAAGATGGGAAATTGGATAAAGAAATTGACATTAGATGCAGTAAAGCAAACCAAGTATTGGGACAGCTAGCCCCCCTCTTACAGCATAAGACAATCCCAATCAGCACAAAGAGACATCTTATTCAAAGCATATTTATACCAACTCTGTGCTACCAGTGCCAGACATGGTCACTCACAACAAACCATAAAATAAAATTAGTAACCACGGAAATAAGATGTCTGAGAAGGGCTGTAGGAGTGACCATAAGAGATAAGATCAGGAATGAGATCATAAGAGAACAAGTCGGCACAGAGCCAATTCTGGATTACATACAAAGACAGCAAGTGAAATGGTTTGCCCACTTAGAGAGAATGCCTTGTGACACCATACCATACAAAGCATACATGGAAAGAGAAGAAGGACGTACAGCACGGGGTAGACCAAGAACAAGATGGAAGGATAACATCAGAGAAACTCTACAACAGCACGATGTGCCTATGGTCGAGGCAGCCAGAAGAGCTAGAAACAGAACCTTATATCTCCCTCGACACCCACAGCGGTAAAAGAGGAAGTGAAGAAGAAGAAGAAGAAGAAGAACTCCCGTTGTTCATCCACTTCCGGGCTTTGTTCTTGTTCCAGTCTTGTGTGGACGTCCATTTTACAGTTCTGGCTTATTTGTATGCAGATTGTTGGTTCCTCACCTCTCAGGCAGATGCCTGATTCCTATTTTAGAGGAAGTCCAGTCAGGTAACAAGTTAATACCCTCTACAGACAGCTGCAAACCAATCCCAGCATTCATCTTTTTAGGAGATAGAGCTGCTGAGACATGTCCAAAAGGTTAAGGGAAAGCACAAAAAATATAATCACTGCAGCTACACTGGCAAAGTATTTTTTGCACTTGCTTGTCAAAACAGAGGCTTTTTATCTAACCCATCCCCCCCCCCCCCCCCCCCTCTTCCCCCCACAAACACTTTGAAAATATAAAATATTGGTCATTACCACATTAGAATTCCAGAAAAATCTGTAAATAAAATGTTTATACAGGTCACTACAAAAATTCATTAATCTACATTGTTACCATTTTTCTCTTGAAATATATAGTTTTATTAACAGAGTATTTAATACATATAAACAGAGTGAATCATTTAACAGAATACTTTCCTCGGGCCTTAAAAACAACGTATTCTGCGTTCTTCACTGAGACTTACAGGAAAATCTCAGGGCAACTTGACTTTAAAAAAAAAAAATATTTAGTCTAAAGGACCCCACAGGTAATTGAGCTGGCAGATAAACTGGCTGGTTCTGCACCCCTTGGTGGTGAACTACAACAAACAAGATGACATAAGGGCCCTTTGGAAGCGAGTTAAAGTGTGGAGACTCAAACAGATCATTATTGTCTGAAGAGAATGGTGCCGTGGGGGAGTTACCAGGGGATGTGGCCGACGCTCAACACTCAAGGAAAAGGCGAAACAGATGTACAACCAGACAGTTAGCGGTGCCATTGTAATTGGGTCTCTTCACTTGCTGCTGAAGATTGGGACGGAACGCTTATGGAAGTGTCCCTAGTGCTGTGATGTTGATTCTAAATTCAACATTCAACTTTTCAGCTACACATTGATCAGAATAAAAAGAGATCACACAGGACTTACACTGAAAGCTGGTGCTGGTTCTGGAGAAGGGATAACCTTGGAAGGCCTGCTTCTTTGTGGGTGATTCTGTTCTTGCTTGCTAAAGATCAAAGAAAGTAACTATAAAGTTAAACAGATGCAAAAAAAAACTTTACACACAGAGAGTAAGCAGATTAAGCAACACTGATAAAAAAAATAGTAATTTTTAACTCTTTCAGTCCCAGGAAACGCATCTGTTTTTTTAATTTGTTTCAACCTGGCGGCCCAATCGACGCGCCACAAGTGAAGGTTTTTAATCTACCACTGACCAGTTGTAAAACGCGGACCACTCAATTTCAACTTCCTTCCGAGTTCTTTGTGTCTGATATCAGGTGTGCTCATTTAGAAACGAGATTCGCGATTTACTGTTTGTTTGAAAAAAATATAGCCGCCAAGCACTATTCTACGTGCATGCCAACATGATTAATGGCCTTAGAAGCCTAACATTTAAATAAATTACATGTTTTTTTTAGATTTATCCGAAGTTAGATAACACTGCGAATTAGATGTGTTTCAGTCATTTATAGAGTCAAACTTTAATGGATATATCTAATGTGTACCTCACGAGATGGGTAAAATGATAGCAAAGTCAGCTGACACAAATAGAATAAACATTAGTGAAAAGATGATTTTCTTCAGTGTAGTTAGTTCTAGTGCCATTCCCCTTTTTATTGAGGAACATAGCTACAAAATTACAGGCAAATTGAGTGTTATATAAACTTCATTTTGCGTGAAGATACTTATTGTTTTGGGAGTCAGTTTTCTTTACCAAATAATAGTGCTCTGTTATGATGCTTCAAAAGATTCTCTGGAACAAAATCTAATGTATAGATTGAGTTTATTTTTCACCTTACATTACTAAGTGGTGCATATTCATTTGTGATTCATTTTGGATACATTTTAACCAGTTTTTCTTTAGTGCCATGATGGTAAGTGGAAATCTGTTTATTTCATTTTACTAATTTTTGTAAACATACCGTCTATTTATTTACAAATTTTTAATTACTATCATAATTATTTGTTGTAGCTCTATGCTAAAATTATTTTTCAAAAATCCCTGGTCACTTTGATGTATAATATGTGTATGCTGTGCTGAAATTGAATTAGTATGGTCTGTTTTAATGTCTTACACTTGTGAAATAAAAAAATTGTATTACCACCCCTTTGGCCTCTGATGCTAAACCCCCTGGGACTCAAAGAGTTAAAAAAACAAAAATAAAAATGTTACTGATAATTAAAATATAAAGATAGAAAATTAGTGTGATCTGATCTGCATTTTTTTTTTTTAAACTGTCGCTACTGTCTGTTTTACCATCTTTTTTAGGGCGCTGTACAGCTACTGTCTGTTTTACCACCTTTTTTGAGGCGCTGTAGATGTGGGGAGGAGAGCGTCGTGAGCCTGAGGATTTATGGCTGCATGGCTAGTGCTGTCACCATAGACTGTACAGGTCAGGTTGTTTAATCTTCCCCCAAACAGAAAAACTCCATCACCTTACATCACCATCGAGCTAAAAAAGGTCACCAATCCCAAACTAGTGATGGTTGCAGAAAAGATAACAGAAAGAAAAAAAACTAGTTGAAGCCTCACTTGCAGAAAGAAATGAAAACCGTCGCTTGATGTCATCTGCCGCGAAACAGAGCTGCACACTTTCATGTCAGGCCTCAAACGAACAGGAGCCGCTTTTCCGCGCATGGGGTGTATAGACGGTGAAAGCAAAGGAACACATATCCTAATAACCCAACAACATAGTACAGCCCGTGGAAACAGACCATGGTATAAATGGGAGCCGGCACGAAATCTCACACCTGGTGAGTTGCGGTGAGTTTCATGATGTGTACCAGATTTTTTAGTTACATTAATAAAAGTTAAAAACCCCTGATTTTCTTCTTTATTGACTGATGACTCACATCTGTACTGATACATGACAAGGCAGATGTGGTCAAAGCCCTTTGGGAACAAGCAACTGAATCAGTAGAGAAAGAAGATTATTATGGCCTAGACAGAAAGAGGCACATGGGTGTAACCAGAGGGTCTGGCTGGCTCGCTACACTCAGAGGAAAGGCAAGACGGACATTTAACCAGATTGTGACCGGCACAAACAGTATTGGAACTCTGCGCTGGGCTGCTGAAAATGAGAACGGAGCATGCATGGGAATGCTTCTAGTGCTAAGATGTCAATTTTTGACTCAACTCATCTGTACTGAAAAAACAGTTAGAGGCTTCCCAGAGTGGACAATGGACACGATAGAAGATGAATGCTAAAGTAAGGATTCACAAGTACATCACCATCAGGGGGTGTGTGCGTGTGTGTGTGTGTGTGTGCGCGTGTGTCAGGACCAGGAATCATACTGATAAAAACTGATACACGTCCACATGCTTGTCCTAGAAACAGGCTTCTTACCTGCGGCCTGACCAACACAAATTGTATCATTTCCTCAGATGTCAGTGATGGTGCCCTAAGAGGTGAGGAACCAACAGTCTGTATGCAATAAGCTAATTCTGTAAAATGTATGTGCACAAGGAGGATAGCATCCTGGAACAAGACCAAAAGTCCAGACATCACAACCACTGAGTGCAGTAAAAGAAGTAGGACAACAACAATGAGGAAGAGGAGGAGAAGGAGAAGGAGGAGAAGGAGAAGACGTTGAAAAAAAAAAAAAAATAACGTCAAGGACGAAAATATTAAAATAGCAAAAAGATAGAAAAAAAACGGTGAGTGAAAATTAACAAACTGTAGTTCTGACTACCTATTATATGTTTCCACTTTTGCTGGTTGTTGTCGCTGCTGCTGCTGATAACTTTGCACTTGGGAATGATGATACTGCTGCTGTTGTTGTGACTGTGGATGCTGTTGTTGTGACTGTGGATGCTGTTGTTGTGACTGTGGATGCTGTTGTTGTGACTGTGGATGCTGTTGTCGGTACTGATTTTGTTGCTGATGTGGCATTTGAGACGGTTGCTGGTGGTGAAACCGGAAAGCCTGTTTTCTCTGTGTGTAATGGCATGGCAGCCTGATCTGGTGCTCCGAAGGTCTGGGAATGTTGCTGTCTTGGCAGAAAGGCTGTCTTAGTTGCTGCTGATGCCGGAGGTTGTCTCTGCTGTTGTTGCTGTTCTTGTGGAAGTTGTCTCTGCTGTTGCTGCTGTTGATGTGGAGGTTGTCTGTGCAGTTTGTTGCTGTTCTTGTGGAAGTTGTTTCTGCTGCTGCTGCTGTTGATGTGGAGGTTGTTTGTGCTCCTGTTGCTGTTCTTGTGGAAGCTGTTGCTGCTGCTGATGCAGAGGTTGTCTTTGCTGTTCTTGTGGATGTTGTCTCTGCTGTTGCTGCTGCTGATGTGGAGGTTGTATTTGCTGATGTTGCTGTGGCTGAAAAGGTTGCATGTTTTGCTGATTTGTTTGAGAAAGCAGCCTACTCAACGGTTCCAGCTGCTGTTGTGTCATGGATGGCTGCTTTTGCTGTGATGACTGTACTTGCTGATGCTCCTCTTGTAGCTGTACTGAATGCAAAGGCTGCTGTAGTAGTGGTTGCTTTTGCTGCTGCTGATACTGCTGTAAGTGTGAACTTTGACTTGTCTGGTGTTGTTTTGTTTGAGGAGCCTGCTGCTGTAAAGGCTGATTTTGCTTTCTTTCTTCTTGGTGTTGCTGTAACATTTGTTTCTGGTTTTGCTGCTTATCCAAAGGCTTATTATACTGTTCTTTCTTGCTGTTTTATGTGGAAACTCTTTTGTTTCTAGCTGTTTTGGCTGTGCATTCTCTCCTTGCTGACTGTACCTGCTTGGTTGTTGTAACTGCTGAATTCTGGGTCTTTCCTGTGAAGGCAAATTTGGCTGTTTTTTGGGTCAATCAGCTGTTTCTCCTGCAGCACTGACTGTGCAAGACTGGCTTGTGGTTTTAGCTGTAGCTGAGATGCCAGCCTTTGTTTCTTGTTGGTTATCCTGTTGTGACCACAGTGTATTTTTTTGGCTCCTGTTTTTGCAGGCGGACGTGGTTTGCTGTTGCTTCTGCTTGCCTATTCTGTTGATCATTTAGCTTTCCTGGCAGTACAATGTCCTAGTCCAGATGACTCTATCTTTTTCCACAGATATGACACCCACGAATGTTTCTGGTGGTCCGAGATTCAGAAAGCATTTCAGATCAAAAAAGTAGTACTGCAAATTTTAAACAAAAACATAAAAGATTATTAAAAAAAAGAATGATAAAATAATATATTTAGGTTTAGAGGCAACTTTAATTGTCCAATGGATCATCTCAGAACCTGCTGCCAGTCCTGAGCCAGCAAACACCACATATAATTACTGTAGC